TTTGAACTAATACACTCCTCACCTCAGAAATGTTATTTCAATTTATAATTTTTATACACATGTATTACCGATACTTGTATTAGCTATTAAACTTACATTGTGAACTTTTTTTTTTTACCAAGCTTATATCAGTTCACTCAGTCTGTCTGTTTGATCATAATCTTTTACAAGTTGTTTCTCCCACATTCCATTCTAAGATCAAGTTGAAACTTTGCAGAATTATTTAGTGTCGATGACAACACACGAATCAACAACAAAAAAAAGTCTATCAGTTAGTAGCAATTAATTAATTTTGTTTTATATGGAAACTGTACTAAGCTAAAGGGAGATAAACCTTGCAATGTTGAGAAATTTGGCAGTAATTTAACGGTGCTTCACCCCCCTCCCCCTAGCGAGAATAAGGAAAAAGAAGGACAGCCGCACAATTCAATCAATATAAGCGAGTTGTTGTTTTTTTGTTGTCTTTTTGGTACATGAAAATTGTTTTTGTATTTAGTCGCAACCCATCACAAGGTTTGTTTTAATTTGCATTTCCTCGTTCTAGACCAAAGTCTATACTCTTTTCAGACCATACAAAACTCTGTAAGATATGATAAACAGAGGATCTTCTAAGAATTAATAATTTTTTATTCTTTCACTCTACGTCCCATGAATAGCAGATTTGATATTTTAACCTGCATTTTTTTTTCTAGACGAATAGCAGGATATTGCGCTGTAAACACCTCAGAAAATGCTTTTCAGGAGCTCAGAATAAAAGAAAACTCTTGGCACGGGGCTCCAGTAATATCCTTATGTTGCTTCTATTTCATTACATTAAACCGCTGCTCCCCCACCCCTTGGAAAAAATTCTAACTACGCCCATGCCTTTAATAAATATAGACCCAAATAAAACTAAATGCCACTAAATGTTTATTCACCAGTCAATACAATTGTGAAATACCTCAAATAAAGCCAAAAATAAGCACCTCAAAAACACTCCACCTCTTTTTTTTTTTTTTTTTTTTTTAGTTTCATTGATATTCATTAAATATTATTCAATAATTGGCCTAAATGGAAAAGAATGATTTGGGGGGGGGGGGGGGATAGAATATTGATGGTAGTTCAATAGAACTGTAATTACAACTTAATCTTTTGTGCTTTCGTTCCTCTCGCAACAAAGTAAACAGTCAAACAGATGTTGGGTGTTGTAGATTTTGGGAAGTGCATCAGGTGTGTCAAAGATCAAACAGTTTAGGCCATGTGCAATAGCTAGGAGAGACTTGGAAACATTATACGCTATGAAACATAAGTATGTAATGTGTACAGAATGAAGAACTCAAGACTAAAACAGTATAAAATGCGGCGATTTCTCACAGATTTAACACCACGATTGCTAGCCAGCTCCAGGCTTGATAGATTGTTTTGAGTCGTGAGTTCTCCCAGCAGCGCACAAGAAATGTTGAAAGCTGTCATCATCGTCTCCCTAGCAGTAGTCATTCAGACATTGCCAGTCAAGAAAACTTTGGTAAGTCTAACTGTATAAATTAGATCATTTCGATCATTATACTCCGAGGTGCCAGTTAAAACATCTAAAATACTTTTTAAAAAGACAATATGCCTACCCCCCCCCCCCTTATATGTAACTTATAGAGCGATTGTTTTTTAATTAATTTATGAATGTTCGATTAAAAAAACAATGGAACATTTTCTTATCCCGCACTCTCCCGCTCCCTTCTCTCCGAGAAAGAATCCTGGTTAAGCGAATGTATAGATCTAATCTAGAACATTTATTCCAATCATAAGCATTTAGCTCTAAGTGTAGTCTAGACTCAGAAGACGATGCGCAAAATTTTCCCGAACATTAATTTATTATACCCTTGAATTAGGCCTAATAATGCCTTACATTCGGAAATTCCTGATCGCGATAGTCCTTTCATGAACCCGATAGTCCTTTCAAAACCCATGTTGGATCTAGACCTAAATAGATCTGTAGCCAAATTTAAATATATTTTTTTCTTGAAAATGAAAATGCTCAAACAGGGAGGATTACTTTTCTTTTCTTTTTGCTGTCTACATTTCGGACGCCTCATCGTGGCGACTAATTTTTATGAATTGCACTTTAATACCGGTACTTAAATCTTAAATGCCTATTTTATAGCGCAACGTTCATGCTTATAGCTTGCTCAGAGCTTTAGGATCCAATCTCCTACAGGGGGGCCACTAGAGGAAGGGAACACGTAATTTCCATTCAAACCCGGTCCTGTACAGTGACATTTAGAACAGAACATACAAAAGTAACTCTTCTGATTGGTCGTCGTTTCCCAATCGCTCGATCATTTTCGTCATTACAAAAATATTTCCAAAAATGAGTTCAAGTAAATATCTTCCCAAATCATTCAACCGAGAGAGGCTCGGATACCTATCAACTGAAACGGTTCAAATGTAGCTCGTTTTTTTTTATTTTTATATATATTTACTACTTACTTTGCCTCGGTCAATTTGCTGCTGAATGCGTCTGTTACTGAGCCTAGGGACACTGTGTTCGAATTATTGCTATCGGTTAAGGTTTGTCTCATGCACATAGGCTACACCATTTCTGTAACAGAATTTCACACTTACTCAATGAAACGTCCATTACATACATACAGTGTAGTATGTCCGGTGTTCTGAGCTTCTGTTAGAAGCATAAAATAATTTAAGCATGAGGAAAAGCGTTAGAATTTGACTGTAACTTATTTAAAAACAAATGGGTAACAAACTAGAGGTAATACAGAGATAAGATAAGAAAATATACTGCCACTGCCATTCCTTTTTACGGTTCCTATATTCAGCTAGCAAATTCATAGGCTTAAAAACCTGAGTAGGTGGACGCAGTTCTTGAAAACGGCTTTAAGGATTTTCCTTCAAATTTGAAAGTTCATTTATATCTCTGGAAAAAGAATTGCCAGCTATTTGGCCACAGTTTCATTTTTTTTAAAAATCTAACATTCATTAGTTACTAAGAGCAAAAAATGGACTATAAGCTTTATAAAAGAGGAACTGTATTTGTTTAAAAGTATTGTTTCATTTTTGTTCACTTCGTATCAGTGACGTAGCACAAAACGTCCTTCACATTGGTTAGTTTATCGTGAAAATCTCCACTAGTTCTGCAAGTTTTTTTTGGTATTAATGGACTATTTGCTAAAACTTTCTGTCTCTCTCTCTCTCTCTTTCTCTTACTTTCACTCTCTTGCTCTCTTTCCCCTCTCTTTCTTTCCATCTCTTTCTTTCTTTCTCTCTCTTTCTTTCTCTATCTTTCTTTCTCTATTTCTCTCTCTCTCTCTCTTTCTCTTTTTCTCTTTTCTCTCCCTCTCTCTCTCTCTTTCGCTCTCTTTCTCTCTCTATTATAGATCTATAAATTACAGACGTTCCTTATAAACAGAAGGTAATTACGTCCTACACGTATGTGTTCATCTGGTCATGTATGTTAATTAGAGACTTACACTCTGGTAAGTCGTATGTTTGCCTGGCTGATTCAGGCAACCTGTTCCATGCTCCACTGGCACCAGCGAAGAAAGAGGACTCGTACGAATTTGTCCTAGAATATGAAATAAGAAATAAGCTTTTATCTTTGTCTCTTTCTGAGTAGACAGTTAAGTTGTGTTTTATATTTGTAAGCTATGGTTTATTGTTGTATATAGTGTCTCTATGATTTTACGAATTGTGTCACTGAAGTCGAATGTTCTTATTCTTTTAGTATAAATCTCACGGCTCTATTTTGTATCTGTTGTACTTTCTGTATGCTTTCTTGACGGGTCCCAAACAAAGCCAACATGTTCTAACAACCAAGTTTAAATAGCATTTTTAGTTTTATGTTCTTGTTTGATTATAAACATGTCTTTTAATAAACCTGAATGCCTTTTTTATTTTTAATAACTTCGCAATATGTGGATGTCATAATTTTTTGAATTATTGCCCTATTTATGTATGAATTTATTTCATAACAGGTTCCAAAAAGTTATCAATGGACAACTGAAGGGTTTGGCGATGTCACAGATGAAGCCTATTATCAATGGACAACTGAAGGGAATGGCGATGTCACAGATGAAACATATTATCAATGGACAACAGATCAGTATTTCGACATTGACTCGTATAACACTGCTGAAGAGTACTACGACCAAAACACATACTATTATGACTATGAATATTATGATGAAGAAGAAAAAAGAAGCGAAGACAGTGACTCAGTAGATGAATCTGAAGAGGATGAAAAGAGAAGCGAAGACAGTGACTCTTTAGATGAATCTGAAGAGGATGAAAAGAGAAGCGAAGACAGTGACTCAGTAGATGAATCTGAAGAGGATGAAAAGAGAAGCGAAGACAGTGACTCAGTAGATGAATCTGAAGAGGATGAAAAGAGAAGCGAAGACAGTGACTCAGTAGATGAATCTGAAGAGGATGAAAAGAGAAGCGAAGACAGTGACTCAGTAGATGAATCTGAAGAGGATGAAAAGAGAAGCGAAGACAGTGACTCAGTAGATGAATCTGAAGAGGATGAAAAGAGAAGCGAAGACAGTGACTCAGTAGATGAATCTGAAGAGGATGAAAAGAGAAGCGAAGACAGTGACTCAGAAGAGGAATCTGAAGAGGATGAAAAGAGAAGTGAAGACAGTGACTCAGAAGAGGAATCTGAAGAGGATGAAAAGAGAAGTGAAGACAGTGACTCAGAAGAGGAATCTGAAGAGGATGAAAAGAGAAGCGAAGACAGTGACTCAGAAGAGGAATCTGAAGAGGATGAAAAGAGAAGCGAAGACAGCGACTCAGTAGATGAATCTGAAGAGGATGAAAAGAGAAGCGAAGACAGTGACTCAGTAGATGAATCTGAAGAGGATGAAAAGAGAAGCGAAGACAGCGACTCAGTAGATGAATCTGAAGAGGATGAAAAGAGAAGCGAAGACAGTGACTCAGTAGATGAATCTGAAGAGGATGAAAAGAGAAGTGAAGACAGTGACTCAGAAGAGGAATCTGAAGAGGATGAAAAGAGAAGCGAAGACAGCGACTCAGAAGAGGAATCTGGCGAATCTGAAGAGGAAGAATAGAAGTTAAATTTACCCGTCAACTAACTATTGAATCAAAAGGAAATAATAATCAATAACTTATTTAGGACAACACAAAGCAATATTAACTCGTAATGTTGAATAATTATTAGCCTAATTTTAAATACGTAAAATAAACTTTAAATAGAATTCAATTTTGTTGTTACTTTATTGTTCATATCTTAATTTTCAATTCAGAGATGAGAAAGATATCAAAAGTATGCGAAAACATGTTAACCACATTTTGCTTCAAATGTCAGATGTTTTTTTTCCCCAAACTTAGGCAAGGGATCGGGAACAATAGGCCCACTATACCGACTCTTCATTGCAATATAAGATAAGATATTTGATATCTAATCATATAATATTTATCCCCGTGTGTTAATACATGAAATGCCAGTTCAGTAAAATTAAAGACACATCCAAAGGAAGCCAAGTGTTTAACAACGCAGCCACCCCCCCCCCCCCCCCAATGGTACTAATCATCCACCAATAAATCCCGAGTAAAAGAAAAAAAAATTCCAGATGAAATAATTTTTATGTGATAACTTTTTTTTTGGGGGGGGGGGGGGGGGGGGGGGGGTATTTGCATAGCAACGGTTCCTATGTAACTATGCTTATGTCCCCTTGGTGCGTGTCACAACCAAGAGTTAAAGAGAGTTGAAGCTCTAGAATCCTCGTGCCATCGTTCGCTTTAAAATATGAGTCATTAAATGTAACAATCAAGGCCCATATAAACAAGTTGCTATGAGCTTAAATATAATTCACTCAATTTATTTCTGCGTTGACCGATCAAGTTGTTGATCTGTTGGTTTTCCAGAGGTAAAAGAAACATTTACAGTTCAATCTGTGTTAAGTACTGTCCGTGCTACCGTCATCTAGGTAACTTGATATTATTCTTTTATTTAATTCTTTAAGAGAATTACAAGTTTTTCAAACTTTTATCTATCTATCCAGTGGCGTAGTTAGGGATTTGGAGGTCCGGGGGCCTTGACCTCTCTATGGGCTCTTGCATTTTGACATTTGACATCATGACATGAGATAATTGAGTATCTATCTATCTATCTATCTATCTATCTGTCTGTCTGTCTGTCTGTTTGTCTACCTATCTATCTATCTATGTATCTCTGTCTGTCTGTCCGTCCGTCTGTCTGTATGCATTTATGTATTTAACTATCAATCGATCAATCAATCAACCTTAGCATCGTCATCGAACTCAAAGTGTGAGGGCTATCCCAATCTATCTATTTTTATTCTCTTCATCTTTCTATCACTTTAGTTTATATGTTTATTTTAGTTAACATGACACAAATGTTGCTTCAGACATGTAGATTATTACATATTAGACCAAACCTCCCGCAGAACCACGGTGGTTGGCAGTGGGCTGGATTCGAACCCGGGACCATAGGAACGACAGTTAAGAGCGCATACCATACGACCATGAGTTTATTTATTTTCGTGGTTTTGTCATACTGTTAGTCATTCATTAACTTGTGCATTGTTTGATTTGTTGACTTGGTTTCAATATTGATTCTCTAACATTGTATTGTGAGAAAATATACATTTGCGCTGTGTGTGTATGTGTGTGCGTGTGTGTGAGAGAGAGAGAAAGAGAGAGAGAGAGAGAGATTTATTTTTGCCAGGAAAACCAACGACTTAGAAGAGTGTAAGTCACTAGATAGACACATGAAATGCCTTGGACGTAATTATCTTCTATTTTGATGTAACGTCTGTAATATAAGGTGTTAATCTTGGATGCCTATTTTAAACTTCACAATGAAGAATAAAAACGCATGTCCAGCAGGGAATCGGCGGGCGCCCTTATCCCATTGATTGTTAGAAAGGCTTTTATTCAACAATCAGGCCTGGAACATGGGCTTCCCCACCCGTGTCCTGTCTGAGGGCTCCCAGCGGTTGAAGGCCATATCGGTTGAATGGGCCAAACCGGGCCGCGTGCACAGCGCTCCGTCCCCGTTCCTGGACCCCACTCGCTATAAGTGGCCGAGAACAGAACTAACTGCGGGGAGCTTGTCTTATTTTCCTATACTGTAACAGTCACTGTTCCGTGCAGGGACCGCCACTCCAGCTAACAGGCTAGTGATGACGGCCCCCTTTGTGGAACGGCGTGGCTGTTATTGAAATAATTCCCCTTATTTATTTTTTTTTGGGGGGGGGGGGGTAGTGATACGAAAAATAATAAAAGGGGTAAACATATGTCAAAATTTTTAGAACCACTGGACTATAATGGCACACAGACACACACAAAAAGATTACTTTAAAAAAATATTAAACACCTTAATAGTGAAGATTCATTTGTAAGGTATTTGTAAACAAGTTTGCAGCAATACTTTCTGCCCCATAGATTGTACACCTCTCTAACAGAATTCAAACATATAGTGAACTTCAATAGTACAGCGGCTTTGTCGGCATTCAATATAGCTCCCCTTTCAGTCCTTGTGGTCTATAGTACAGGTTATGTAAACGTCATCTATTTCTGTGGCCTACGGTTGACGAGGGTGTCATGTGGCCAGCACAACGACCAACCGCCTTTCCTTTTCCACAACTAATGTCAGGTACCCTTTAGAGCTTTGTGGACTCAAGAGGCGCCCAAAGATCCTGAAATTCAAAATCCAACTCTTCACCAGGATTCGAAACCAGAACCCCAGGTTTGTCTGCATTAGATGTAGCGAAATATGTAGGTCGAATTTGGGCTTCGTGGTCATGTGAAAAATTGCATTCATATTTAATCTTTGAAATAGAAGACAATACCTTTTATAATCTATGGTTAAAGTCATCATGGAGCAGAGCCCTTGATAGAGGCTGAGATGATTGCTGTTGATAGGGGCTGAGATGATTGCTGTTAATCGGGGCTGAGATGGTGGCACCAGCAGCCAATAGAGTATCTGTATCAACCCTGATTCCGCATGAAAACAGCTTAGTTGCTAGCTATGCCTCAATCAGGCTCAAAAATACCACACACCAGCGTGGAAGTACGGTAATTAAAAACATGACTCATTTTCTTAGCACTATCTAATTAAAATGCGTATGGAAAAAGTTATTTGCAGTCAACAGACACCAGACGTGATGAAAGCTGTAAATAAACATAGGCCTATTTCATGCAGTGACCAGGCCTCGCTTTATTAATAGTTTAGTTACGGTGTGATCTCATACAGCAAATACAAATAGTCACAGTCCCGAGGCAGTGAATTCAGCTATCACAGATGAATGGACAACCTTATGCATATATTCATATCAACTGTCAAATTTCTAGGAAAATCGTTAAAACCGTTTTCAAGATCCGTTTCCAGGTTCCAGTTTACATGAATTAGCAAGCGCAATAGATGAATTGTAAAACAAAATGCTTATTATAATGGCAATGACTTAGCCTCTAATATCCACTACCAAATATTACATCAATAGATTTTCTGTTAAAACATTCATAGATTTTAATTTCCGCATAATTGTATTACAGACACACTGAGTTCAGGGAAGTAATTTGTCCAAAATGTTGAAAGCTGTCATACTTGTCTCCTTGGTTTTGCTTTTGGAGTTTCATAAAAGCTTTCCGATGAAGCCAGCAAAGGTTAGTCATGTTTTTTAGATGAAATATAGAACACACACACACACACACATACAAAATCAATATGAATATGAATGATTTTTAATGGTTCATAAAAAATGTCCACTTTTGTAAAATGTCCCCGATGGTCATATTTTAACAATTTACACAATTTTTAATAAATGTACGAAAAGTTTGAGAAAGAATCTCACTAACATTGACCAACTCCACACAGAATGAAGCTGTTAACGAACTGGATATTGAGAATGAACTTCAAAAGGGACATGACCATCTGGTCAAAAGAAGCGCCTCTTCGGATTCTGAGGACAAGAGCTCAATATCGTCAGCATCCTCTTCTTCTTCATCGTCATCTTCTTCCTTATCATCATCTTCCGAGGATTACGATGACAGCAGATATAAAAAACGATCTCACCACCAAAAGATTAAAAAGCTTTTATGGCTCCTGCTGACCAAGAAAAATTAAACATTTATCAACTTCACTTTTATATAATATAAGCTAGTTATCGATATTTGCACAAGGCGCATTTTTTTTTAATTGGTACGTACCCAAAGTGAACTTAGGAATTGCAAGATTTAAAATAAGATGCGGTATTATTGTCTTAAATGATGTCATGGTTCTTTACTTTGCCAATCAAAACGTGATGTCATGGTTGTTTACTCTGCCAATCAAAACTTGATTTCATGGTAAGTTTATTTTAGATTTTAAAAAATTTTTTTTCTAATTTAAAAAAGAAAAAAAAAAGGCCCCCAAAAGCTTCTTTAAAAATTAGAAAAGCCTAACCAATTTTAGTGTTTTTGTGCTGCACATAAAAATAATACAGATCAAATTTCTTGATTGATTTAGCTATCCTTATACCATCCTTGAAAATATTTGTTTTACAATCGATGCTAGACCTACAACTATAAAATAATGTAAGCTGGCCTATATATCATTTCTTTAACTCTTTTTAACACCATGTGTATGCATACATGTATATAAAATGCTGTTTTTAAATGTACTTAATATGTTAAAAAAATGAACTATTTAATCAGAGTACTTTGAAATGTACTTGTTTTGCCACTTTTTAATATTTTAAAAAAAAAGTGCATCATAAAGATTACCATAAAACAAAACAAATTTGGAAATGAAGAAATATTATTTTTCTTTACACTTTAATAAATATTTTACAGAAAAAAAAAACATAATAAAAAAAAATGTCTTATCGTAGAATAGAACTCAGTGCCCTGCTATCCTTAATTAAACATTTTACCACTGAGTCTTGAACACAAGTAGATTATTATGTCTTGCATATTGAAAATAAAATCTGTAAAGATCACAAAGAACATATTGCTTTTGTTTATATTTATTTATGTTTTAATTTAAAATCTTTTATGGCATATAATATTTAAATTGCCACATTCATACTGCGAACTTAAATGTAATGTTTTAACCAAAGTTAAATTTTAGGAAATATAGGTGCCCGTTAAAATTCAAACAATTTTAAAAAAAGATTGATTATTTTGAATGAAGTCACCTTTCTTTGAAAAAAGAAGGTTGGGCATTTCATACTATATTATAGATCAGGGGTGGGCAACCTTTTTGTATCGAGGGCCGCATTTTTTTAAATTTGGGAATGGCGGGCCGCATATATATATACAACTTAGTAGTACTTAATGTGCAGCACTCTACTTTTACACTCGTGCATATGTTCCGGAACTGTGGAACTAGCTTACTAGTTGTTACCCTTGTGACTGCTGTCAAATTACAGTCAGTCAAAATCGACCAGTTATTATACTGTTTTAGTTTCCACAAAAAAAAATTTTGCTTGTTCACTGAATCACACTATATATGTTTCGGAAGTTAAATGTCGGGACAAGCGAATTTGCCCTTGTGGAGCATCACCAGAGAATGCTGACCATGTCCTTCAATTGTGCATACTAAGTCAAGAGACCTGAACAAGACTCTGGCCCCAAAGCCTTCCTATAAAACCAAAGCTATTCGGAGAACTGCCTGATGTGGAAACCATTGCGCGGTTCATGAGAACGAAGAAGAAGAACACATGTATGAGCGTGTGTTTGTGTACAAAAATAGTGCTAACAGCAGCAAATTTTTAAGTGTTGAAATACAGCTTCTGGCACCCATAAGACTCACGTGGTAGTACTGACTAAAACTTATCTTTGCTTGGAATTATGTCCTCTGGAGCTGAATCAGCTTCTGCGCTGAATGGTGCGCTGATAGTATTGAAAACTGTTTCTTGACGTCTTTAAAATTTGCTTTTAAAAATTGCACAATTAAGGAATCTAAATAAGTTTTGTACTTTTAATCATTTCACTAGAAATATTTTCACCTTTCAGCTAAGGAAAATGACAAAACTTTTCTTTTGCTTGCTTGTAGAAATGGGAAAGCCTTGTTTGAAATGATATAACATGCACTTACATTTCATATGCAAAATACCCTTTTCAATTGCAATTATGAAATACATGAAATATGTTTTCCACTCCTCATTTGAAATATTGGGTAACAAATTAACAATGTCCTTCAAGTAACATAACAATTTCTTCCTTGAGATTTTATATTGTTTTCATTAGTCCTGCCCATGCTAAGTAGGCGGATACATTGGATTACTTTGTTTCTAAATCGGAACTACCTCTGGTTAACACCCCTAGCTCTAATAAGTTCGATTGATATGTAGGGTTATAAAACAGTATGTTGAAATTTTATGCAGCTTTGTGCAAACTTTCATGTTTAGAGTTTATGGTTGGGATATTTTTAAAAAAAAATATAAAAACAAAAAAACTCAGTCACAGATCGAGCTCCATCAGTTGTTACATTTGCAATCTTGTTCCAAGCCTACCCAATATTTAACATAGTTCTTCATAGCATTGAATAAATACTGATCAGAGATTGTGTCTTGAAGTGATGTATGGCCAATAAGCACTATCTTCGTTGACTTGAAACTTTTTATAAGACAGTTTCAATAATTCATATACATATCATTTTAAATATATTTGCATTTTTATATGTATATACCGTGGGCAACCTAATTTCTGTATGTGTCGGCGGGCGGGCCGCGATTTGCCCACTCCAGTTATAGATCATTTTTAATGAAAAATACTCAATAAAATAAGTATTGACATTTTCAATTTCTTGGTTAAATTTAATTATTGTACTTTTTTTTAAACATTTAAAATAATAATAAAAAATTGCAATGTTTTCAATTCCCAAGATTAAGGATGAGTGCAGTTTTTCACGACTATGCAAACCTAGTTGCGACCTGCAAATTTTTCTGCGTCTCATGCAGACAAAGCTGTTGTTTGCCAGCAGTCAGTTTCTTTTTTTTATCTTCTACACCTGTCTTCAATAAGGGCTTTTTTTGTGGGTATCCCAAGTAATAACCACGAGCCTTTGTGAGTTGATCCTCCCTTACACTAACCCAAAGATCACCTTTGGCATACAGTTGTCTCACATGTGGGATAAGTCTCCAACCCAGCGCAGCAGTCGAAAAGTAATTAGAAAGAGAATTCAAACAAAAAATGTCCACAAAACAATGCATTTATTAATTCATTTTTATTTTACATTGGCAATGTTAGCAAAGTAAAACAAGTGAAGAAATAGAGAATCAGACAAGACATAGAAACTATCCATTTCTTTCTACCAGCCTAGTCACAATCTAGAACAGTCCATGCATTAAGTCAACTTGATTGAATTCCAGTAATTAATCCTGTGTCTGCTTCAAACTAAGTGGTAGCTAGTCAATTGAATGCAACAAGCTGTAACCTAAGACAAATTAATGGAAATCAGGCTGTACAAGGTGTTTCAGGGTTGACTATGTTTCCATGTCCCAAGAGTAGTTGCCCATTAACAATTGATCCCAATAAGGACCATGAATATCATAGCTATATTTCATTTCTGAAGACTTAATCAGCTCCCACATTCTTTTTTCATTCAGCCTAATTCTAAGATGACCATTACATAATCTAGCTGATGAAATTAATATTCTAACTTACAAACAGGGCACACAATTGAAGACATCCTAATCTTATATATGTATAAAAAAAAATCTAAAGTAAAAACCAAAAGGCATTCATAAAAAAAAACCAGTATCTCACCAGTCAGAGTGAAGGAAACAAATTGTAAAAAGAAAAAGGTCAAATACAAAAACAAATGGCATTTAATCAAGAGCTCATTCTCTCAACAGTTTAGGGGGAAACAAATGGAAACTTATTGTTAAAATAACAAAAAAACAAAAACAACAAGCAACTATATCATGCAAGTTTGTTGTAGGCTACAACACCACAGCAACATACTGTGTGCAATTATACAATATATATATATAGAGAGAGTTGATATTATGTTCACATGTACATGTTGCTTTCAAATAACCATGGAAATCATAAACAGAGAAAAGTACAAAATGTCTTCATGTTGCTCTATCTAGATTCAGCCAAGAGAATGCTATTAGATAATGCTCTACAAGCTGGCTGGGATGGCCCCAACCATTCAATTGGGGAAAAAGAAAGACTAAAAACATTTGATGCCATTGCAAGACTTACAGTTTGAATGAGAGGCTCCTAGAGAAAAGTCTTCAAGTCATGGCTCAGTCCATTCACTCTAGGACATTCTAAATTAAAAGCTATTAAAACTATCACTCATACTTTGTGTTTGTGTGATTTACTTGCGATGAGATTATGACCTTCAGTTTCCTGTCAAAATTCAGTACATCAAAACAAAATTGCAGTAAAAATAAAGGAAGACAATAAATAATCCATGTTTTTGGGAGGGACAGTAACGAATGCAAAAAAAGGGTGGGGGGATGTGTTGATGCCCCAGTAAACAATACGGCCATTTAAAAAAAAACAAAAAAAAACTAATTGTAATCTTGAAACAAGTCAAAGTTCTAACAAATTCAGTAGAAATTAGTACGAAGTCTCAATGTAATTTTGAAACAAATCAAAGACAAAGTTCTAATCCATCAATAGAAGATTGTAAAAAGTCTCCATGTATGTCAGTGAAAAGAGAGAGAAATGATTTTTTTTTCAGACTTGTGACGATGAGTTCAAGCTGTCAGATTAAGCTAGGTGATCACCTCACGATACACAGAGCAGATAACAAACTGAAGCATCCATGATTAGATCTGACACTAACACAAGATGGTGTAGATATAATAATAGTAATAATCAACCCAACCAAGATATAAATTATGCTCTGTTAAGATTTTTGCATATATTTTTTAGCATATATTCATATAAATATAAAAAAAAAAAAAAAAAAAAAAAAAACATGAACGCTTTAAAAAAAAAGCACCCATATTAAATGAATGACAAATAAAACAAACAACATACAACAAATATTAACATACAGTAGTCAACAACAGGTCAGAGCAATCTATGGCATGATAGTGTCAGGCTTAGGATGGGATTCTAATATTTAGTCGTATGTAATGATGTGTCCTGAAGAGAGATTGAGGGTTCCTATACATTTGCGTTCACAGCACTGGGGTTAGTCAATTCAGGAGTGGGAATAATGTCACCTATGGGATGGTACAAGTAGGCCCAGAGAAGGATTTTGATTGGTACAAGTGATGTACTAAGGGAAGAGTCAAGTGATCAAACATAGACTGGCATTAAGCCACCCAGAACAAACAAAAAAATGGTCCAACCTTAAATATGGAAACAAAAGCCTGTATCTTACAAAGACTCTCGCTAGCATGTGGAATCCATCTTTCTCGTTCAATGATGGACTGAACTCACATTTTGAATTTCATTAGATCAACAATGGACTCAACCCACTGTTGATTCTTGTAGATACTTGCACACCAGAACATTACAAATTAAGATGAGAACAGTGAGTTAAGCTAGCTTTCAATATAGATACAATAAAAAAGAAAAACCCAGTGCTGCCCTTGATTTTGTGTTTTTTTTTTTTTCAAGTTTAGCAAACAAGTGATACAAAAAAAAAAGGTTTTAAGAAAGACATCTACGTAAGCTAAAAAAAAATTTTTTTTTTTTTTTTTTTTTTTACAAAAATGAGCTTTAAAAAAAATTAAATAAATATGAACAGAAAAAAAAAAAATGCCATATGAATAATGTATTTACTACATTGTTATATCTCCTATATATATAGATATTAATATATATAAATCAAATAGACCACTAAAAGCTCAACTAACAAGTGTGAATGATATTATGAGCTGGAACCCACCCCCCCTCCTAAACTACCTCACCCCCCTCTTCCTCCTCTGAGTTGCGTTCCAGGGCACTCAGACGAGCTTCTAGCTCCCCAATCCTCTTGTCCTGTCTGCGCACCTTGTTCTTGAGCTCAATGATCTCTTCCTGAAGTTCTTTCAAGTCTATCCCATCATGCTTGTGTGACTGCACATCATGGCCATTGAGGGTTGACAAAACAGCAAAGCGTGGAGAAGAGGAGAAAAGAACAAAAATACAATTATCTTTCAATCCAAATGTGGTTGTTGGTGTGTTCATGTTCAGACTTGATTGTCTTCACATCAAATCAAATTCTATAAGTTATCCATTGAAAAGAATCTGCTAAAGAGAGGGAAAAGAGAAAAGGTGTCAAAAAGTATTTCAGAAATGTAATTAATGGACAGATTTACAGATCGTGACATGTACACCAGTGGCTATTCTAGCTATGCAACAGAAAGTTCTGTAATGCAAATAGTTCAGCTTAAGAAATTCACTGATATTAATTTGTCTATCTCTAATTTTCAAAATATATGCTTGGATTTGAAGTACAAAAGATCAGAAAACAAAACAAAAAGTATAAAAAAAAAAGGGGGGGGGGGTGTCAAAGAACCAGGAAAACAGAGAGTTGAATTTGAGCAACTAAGAAGAAGAAAAACTTGTCAAGGTGGAGACCACAAGCCAAGCAGAAATCATTCAACACTCTGAGCTACACCAGATGGAAACAGAAGGGGGAGCAATGCCTTCATCAGTATAGTGCTTCTAAAGTTCTCACCTTAAGATTCTGTCTCTAACAGTGTGAGGAATAAAGCTTATTGAATAAAACAGCTGCGGCAACTAAACCCAGCTAGACTACTGTGTATATCCAATTAAGTGTAGGTCTAGCTAGACTACTATAGGTATATTTATGTCCACTCAAATTAAAACCTAGTTCTGTAGTATATTTTAGTATAACTCTAGATAGACTATCAAATAGAGTACACTAATGTTTCAAACCTATAAGACAGAAAAACGATTCAACAAAAAGACATAAAGGCTCATTATAACTTTCTATCTAGTTATGAAACAGTGGTCTAAAATTAATGTAGTTATGACATACAAAGACATATTAATCTACTACACCTAAGACTATGACATACTGGTATATAACATTAAATGTGTCTCGTCATGATTAAATATTGTAACCAACAAGAGTCACAAAATATGTTAGTGAATGGACTGTATAGATTTAGAGGTACATTTATGTATTATTTCTCAACAGTGAGCCTTTGCTTATTTATTCCTATTGATAAATGTCTCAATATCAAGTCTGTGCTAAAATATTTCTGTTAAATATAGCCTCAATAGTAATCCTGCATCCAATGTGTTCATATTTAAGAAGCTGGCCTATGTAGGGATATTGTTACATTTTAAGAGGGAAACTTACTGTTCATGAAGAGCTATACTTCATAAATGTCTAATTACTTATAAACATATAAAACACTTGAGTAAACCTACTTAAGCCGTCTACAGTCGTTACATAGGCCACAACCTCTTGAAGATTAAACAAGGATATGTTCAGAATGATGTTACCTGCAGCCTGTTATCTATATATTTTAGTAATACTAGCCAAATGTATGATTAGAATAGCACATGCTTAATTGATCATGCTCCTGTGTTCTTCAATTCTAAGGGAACCAACTGAGACAGTATCAATGGACATACTCCATCACTCTGACTAATACAAAATAACACATTTAGCTTTATTTTCCTTTACGGTTAGAGACAAATTTCTTTTTTTTTTTAATATCTCAAATTTTAGGGATTGAGAAAAAACAAACCAAGAAATGTGTGTTGAAAACAGTGTGTAGCAAGACTGCAATATTCTGGAGAACATGAGACAATGAGTTGAATAAATAATGACGCTTCTAATGAAGTCAAATTTAAGGACTAGCCTGACTTTCAGTTGACAGAAAAACAAAGTTTAGGTCAATACATAAGTAGGCTTACAAATGTGGCAAAGAATGATACATTTTAACGAAATACCGCAACAAGAGAAATAAAATTTTATCTCACAGGAGTATATTGTTTATAAACAATTAGGTCAAGGCCACAACAATAAGCCCAAAACCTAAATGCCCAAAAAGAGACCAAGAAACTAAGCCCTTCTGTTACATCAGTCTAGATAGGACTTCTTTGAAACATTAAAAACAGTGTCCATTTTTACAATGGGTTCAGCACCAATGTCTAGCCACAACGATAAGAATTGAACAATAATATTCCATAGAGTCATCTGCAAGAGTCACACAAATATCAGACTGATCAGAAATGTGAACTACTGAAACAAAATTAATTAATGTATACTTTTGTAGAGAACCTATATTTAAGTAAAGAAAAAAAAAACATGACTAGGGATAAAATGTATAAGGCCATTAAAGAATGGACAGCACTATTGAAAAGCACAAAGCACCACAACGGTGAATCCATAATCTGGAAGTGCACAATCATAGAGAACTTTTTATGTAAACATATTACCAAAAACAAATAGGTGAATAGTCATAGACATAATGTGATAACTAGCCGCTGTGGGACTCCATAAAGTTAGTAAGAGTGCTATAAACATGTACAGTGCACACACACACACCAGGACTGCCAGCAGCACACCCACTACAGCAAGCCAACATGGAGATTAGGTGAATACAATGATATATATATATATATATCAAATATATGTGGCACTACTCACTGGCAACCATTGCCTGAATACAGACCCAACTCAGCCACTACTAACCTGTCCCATCAATGGATGGGTCATAGCTATCAGAGAAACGTTTCAATAATCAGTAGTTCAATGAAAAAAAAAATCTTTATAAAAAACATTTTTTAAAGTAAAAAAAAAAAAACAAACGTGTAATAATCTTTAATAAAACTGAAAAAAAAAAAAGTAACTTTGCAAAATTTAGAATAATATTAAAGAACTTATAAATTGTGTACTATTCATACTATGAAAGATCAGTTAATGATACATCAGCACTACTGAAGATAGGTCAGCTTTCACTTTCTTATCTTGCACTACACAATATGTATCTGTACAGTTGTATGAATGAAAATCTAACTTGGTCTAGCCAACTGATAATAAGTTCCAATCTAAAACTTAATGCTGTCTCTAAAAGCTGTTAATAGATACAACAAACAAAGTGCTTCCAGCAAGTGTGAGACCTGACGTATAGGATTCGAAAATAAATTTAAATAAATACAGGGTTAAAATTAGAAAATCTAAACATGTCAATAGCTCTAGAAATGAAACTGGAGTCGGGCAAATGCAAATGAGTTTATAAAGCACTTCACAGAAGTTAATTAAAAAACACTTTGTATCCCGTTAAAATTGAAAGCACTTAATATCCCTTCAGTTAGATTTTAACTGGGTACCCAACTAATGAGCAGTTATGACGAAGTTTAAGGGCATAATAGATTGCTTCTTTGAACCTTTTATTAATTTTTGTTTCAAGTGGCTTCAGAATACAGTACATTTGTTCTAAGCATTATTTATAAAATTATGCTAGAGTAAAACATTGTAAATAGTATGTATAAGACAACCAAGTTACAATTTTCGGTATGTAAATGTGAATAGGGTCAACTTGCTGGAATCATTAGAATTAGTCAAAGTAAAGCAAAGAGCACCAGGTGCCAACTACAGCAAAACCCAACAGTGAGAGAAATGAACAAGAGAATAACAAAAAGGAAAATAAAAAGTCTCATGAACCATTTGAAAATGAAGTGAAAAGATCAGAGTTGGCGGCTCTAGGCCTCATCTACAGCCTCCTCTTCACTCTCATATTGGGAAAGCTTCTCCTCCAGAGTTTTAATCCTGCGTTCATGGGCTTTGACAATCAGCTTCAACTTTCTTAAGTCGTCCAAAATGCCTTGTGGGTCAAAACCCTGGGGTCAAAAATCAATTGGTGCGTTTTTAAAATTAACAAAATTACTTTTTTTTTTCTTTTTAAATGTGCCAGGTATTTTTTCGTCCAGTTTTACTAGCCCATATCATCTAACAAAAATTATTTCTAAAATGTATTTGTTTTTGGTTTCATTTTATTTAAATAGAACTTAATACAATTAAAGAAAATCTCCTGACCTAAGAACAACTTTGATTAAAGCTTCTCTTAGTATAAAATGTGTGTTTAAGTCTTTAATACCAGGAACTAAAAAAAAAAACGATTAAAAGATAACTCCAATCCTGTGCCATGCACTGGTCTGTGCATCAGTGGAATCTTGTTAGTTTGAACTTCAAGTGAGAATTAATTTTTAAAAAATAAATAAAAATCTATTTAAAAAAAAAAGATGAAATATGATTAAAATGTAAACTACTTCCTTTTTAAAACAAAATTCCTAGATATATCAAACAAATTAAGTAAAATGAAAGCATAGTGAAAGCTTACTATTGTAAAGAATAGTTTAGAGTTAAATTATGATATATTCTATACGGTGGAGAAGAAAGTCAACCAAGAAAAGAATGGCGCCTTTTTTAAGTAAATGAAAGTATGGATAAATTAAACAACGAAACCTACGGGCGGTAACGATGGTGCTGCAGCAGCGTCTGCATTGTTGGAGGACTGTTGCTGTTGAGGTTTGGCGGGCATTTTATCTAGGATGTTGGACTTCCTTACCACCTTCAGCTGCTCTTTCTTGGACGGTGCAAAGCCATCTTTTAGAGAAACCTAAGACAGAATTAATGGTGTGAATCAA